ACAAATACCTACCAGGAAAACTTTTGATCCGTGCTGTATATGTGCTGCAAATACTTGGAGGGGGGTTAAAAAGATCAGCTCCTGCTTGGAATAAGGTCAGGGGGAGTTCAGCAACGGCAGGATCCATCTCCCACGATGCCTTCTGGGCTACATTGGTTTCTTTTATCATTGCACCAACAGCAAAACTTCCCACCACCTTCACAGCCATGGATCTTTCCAGCCACCCAGAGGGGGAATGGCTGCTCCAGGTATTTGTCCCACAGCTTGCAGTGATTTTAAGGGGGGAAAAACAACAATTTGGCACGTTAGGAAAGTCTGATGGAAGGAAGTGGGGGCATATTTGAAAGCTGCATTAAAGAGGGGAGGAATGAAAAATTAAAGGGACTCTGAACAGCACAATTTCAGGGCACCTTCCCATCAGCATTTCCCTCTCCTTGCATTTGGGATTTACCTCTTAGCCAAAGCAAAGGACTGAAGCACCAAAACGAAACCAAATCATTTCCATCATGGGAGGAAAAAAAATAAAGAACGATTAAAAACAATTTAAAAAAAAAAAAATTCGATGCAAAGCAGCTTTGTTTTGCTGAAGTCTGAACAGCTCTCGGAACGTTTGCAAAGCCCCAGTGGGGAATTCAGATTGCTGCTGCAGGAGTGCAAGAGCAGAGCACCCAGCCCTGTGCAAAAGCAGCTCCCAGGCAGATGGAGGGAGAAGAAAACAAGAGTTTGGTTGTGGCTCGCTGCAGTTTGGAAGGAGCCCCATCTTTCAGCAGCAGAACAAAAGGATTTTTTTAGAAAGTGAGCTGATGCTGCAGCCTGAGTTGATCACAGCGTGTGCTGGGCTTTTAACCCAAGTGCTGCAATGCTCGGGCAGTGGCCAGCACTGGGAGCCATCCCCACCCTCAGCACTGCTCCATGGGACCCCCCCTGTGCTCACAGCCCCCATTTCCCCCCAGGGCAGGATGCTGCTCTGCTCCTCAGCTTCAGCAAGCAGCCCTTGGGGATCAGAGTTGTGTCCAAAGAGCACAGAGAATCAGGAAATTATTAATGATCGATGCCAAGCTGGAATTTTGTTTGAAATCCAATTAGTGATTCTGCAGTAAGTTTGATTCTCAACTGATTCCTGCGCTCCAGCTTTAATCAATGGGATCAGATCACGGATAGGAGATTCCTTTTTCATTCACAAATGTTTTCCTCCTAACAAAAAAATGAACAAAAGGTGGTTTGAACTGGGATCCCAAGTAAGAGAAAGAAAATATTCCCCAGCTGCACCCTCACACCTCTCATTCTGCTCAGTTCTCACCTGTGTTTCAGGGAGAGCCTTGCTCTGTGCTCGGCTGATTTCTGGTGGCTGAGGTTTGTTTGTAACAGATTCTGCATGAATCAAATGGTGATTTTTTTCCCCCCCCTTCTGTGACAGAAGTGCTTCAGTGAAATCCTTCAGCCCATATTTGTTTGATTGTGACTTAAGCCATACATGAAAGCTCTGGGAAATGAGTGTTGTTCAGAGCTTCAGGTGTTTCTCTGCGTTGTCCAACTGGAAATGCAGTGCCATCACCAGACATTAAAAACAAAAGCAACCAAACCAAATCAAAAAAGAACCCAAACAAATTAAAACAAAATCAAATGGCAACTGCCTGAAAAGATAGCAGGATTTGAGCTCCTCCATTTCACCACTTCTCTGCCACAGAGATCATTCCTGCTTTAATTTTCCTCTGCCTCACAACAACAACAGTGCTTCACCACTGTGCAGGAATTGCACCTTTCCATATTGAACCCTTGCACTCATAGGTGCATTATCCACCATTCAGTTCCCACCATTTGTTTTTGGGTTTTTTTGTTTTGTTTTGTTTTGTTTTTAAATTAACCTTAATAAAGTTCTCCTAAACTCCTGTGTGACAACAGGGGTTGTTTGGCGTTGCACAGTAATCACAAAAACTCATTAAGGACCTTTCTGCCTCATTCCAAGGTGGAAATCCTTCATCAAAACAACAACAAATCAACCATGCAACCTCCCCCCCCCTTCCCAGAAAAAAAACCAAACCAAAAAACCAAAACCAACAGCTTCTAACCCGGCTCACGTTTTGGGTATGAAATCAAACACAGCCTCACGTGGCTGCAGAGCATGGAGGGACCCATTGGAACGTGGTGCAAACTGCACAAAGAAATCCGCTCCTCAGAGGGAGCTCAAAACCTCGGGGAAGCACTGGGGGAGGAACGAGGCCACGCTGCTGTTGGATGTGACAGAGCTCAGCTCCCCGTATCACACCGGATTATTGCTGAGCTTCCTGGTGAGGTTGAGCCCTTTCCCCTCTTTTTTTTTTGGGGGGGGGGGGGGAGGTTTGCAGAGCTTTGCTCTCAGTGGGGCAGCTGGGACTGCAGGGCAGCTGCCCCTCCTCCTGCCCAGGGCTGAGCAGCCCTATCACCCCGCAGCAGATCAATGATTTGGGCTCTGCTGTTTGCATTCCCTAAATACCTTACATCTGGAATGCTCCACCGAGGGAAGGAGGTTGACTGATAGCCTTGCTTGTTGTGGGTCTAAACGGAAGGCTTTCCCTCTTTGTTAGGGCTTTGGTTGTTGTTGTTTTGGGGTTGGTTTCTTTCATTTCATTGCTAAAGGGTTGTGTTGCATGGGGAAGGTGCTCTATAAATCAGCAAAAAAAGAAAAAAAAAAGAAAAAAAAAAAAAGAGAAGAAGAAGCAACAACAAACACATTTGGGACCAGATTAGAGCTGGATGCGAAGCAGGCAGCAAATGAGTTGCTCCTGTGGGACGTGTCTGTGTGTGAAGTTGAATTCTCCACTTCTCAGCCACTTTGGGAGCTACAGGAGATTTATCCCCAAATTTCATTACTTTCTTCTTCCCACCTGTGAACACAGAGCTGATGCTGCCTCAGAAACACACACACAGACACAGCAGTTCCATCCAAACCCCTCTGGTGGATTCGGTTTGGTGCTCTGAGGAGAGCGATGCAGTTGGAAGGATGGCACCAAACCGTGAGCAGCATCTCTGTGTTTGGAAAGCCAAAAGCCCAGGGCAGCAGAATGCATCAGACAGAGGAGGGGGAGCTGAAAGCTCTTCGCTTTAAATTTCCCAGATTTTTTTTGTTTTCAATCGTTCATTCTGACGAGTTTCCTACGTGGCCGTAGCACTGAACGCACCGAAATACCCCTGGGTAGGTGCGCTGATTTCTAAAGCTTTTCCCAACTTCTCCTGCTCGAATAATACCACCGAATTTATTTACTAACAAATTCTCCACGTGGCTCTTCCCCCCCCAGCGGAGAGACGGACGATGAGAAGCCGAAGAACAGCTCAGCAGCGCGGGGGGAGGAGGGGGGGCTCCATCCCGAGCTGGGGTGCGGGGGGGAAGGTGGGCGCAGTGCCCGTATATCGCTGGGGGTAACAGCGCCCGGAACGCTTTTTTTTCAATGGAGGAAAAGTTATTCTTTATATCGTGAAATTCTTTTTTTTTTAAATTTAATTATT